TAGTTTTCTTTTATTTATTTGTTTTTATAGACTAGGAAATATATATTTTATCCTTTACTATTACTAAACTGCCTAAAAAACTGCCTATTTATATATCTTTTTTTAAAGTTACTACTAAAGCCTTTATAGTATATTTTCTAAATAGTTTCTCTTTATACTTATTCCCTAAACTATTATATCTTATAATATTATTATAATTTAGGAATAACTAGTCCTTAAATAGTTTAACTTTATCTTTTAATACTATCTCCTTAAAATAATCTTTAATATTACAAACTATAGCTTCTATATCTATAGCCCTAACTATATAGTAGTCTTAATAAGTAGTAAGTATAGCTATAAAGGTTTTACTAATATTTTTAAGCTAACTTAGACTTTTAAAAATAGCTTTATATTGCCTCTTTATTAGTAATAATAGCGTATTTTATAATAAGGTAATAGAGGTATTATAGTAATATTTTTTTACTATTTCTATTACTATAGCTTAGCTAAAGGGAGGCCCTAGTATTATTATTACTTTATAGCTACTAATAATAGTTATTTCTTTTTTTTCTTTTTCTTTTTCTTTTTAATCTTTTTTATTACTTAAGACTAAGTTAGTAGTTAATACTATAAGCCCCTTAGTATCTATAGCCTTAATTATAGTAAGTTTAACCTTTTCCTTGCCCTTAAAAGCTTATTTATAAAGATAGTAAAATTATAGACTATACTATTTAAAATACTTAGCTAGTATAGTATATTTATTAATAAAGTATTTCTATAGCTTATTACTAATTAAGATAAACCTAGTAATATAATTATAAAAAGTATTACTAGTATTATTAATAGTAAGGAATACCTTTTAAATCTTTAATAAGTCTTTTATCTTTCTCCTTACCTTTTTATAATTAAAGGAAATACTAGTAAACTCTTTTAATAGCCTAGTAGCTATATCCTTATATATATACTTTATATTTACCTTCTTTTTATTACTAAATTTATCCTTATTATAAGCTTTATAGTATAACTTTAGTATTATTCTAATTATATTATTATTTTACCTTAAATATAAAGTTTTTTTCTTTTATAGTACTAGTAATAGTGCCTATAATAAAGTCCTTAGTCTTAAGCTTAGGGGCAGTATATTTATTAATAAGGGAAAGGATTTATTATTATTATCAGTAAAGTCTTTATTTAAAGTATAGTTATTAAAAATAGCTTTAATTATAGCTTATATACTAGTATTAGGCCTTAAGGTTAAGGTCCTTAATATTATTATTATAGTTACTATAGTTTTTATAGGTATATATTTTATATAGTAAAAGGTAATAAAATTATTATAAGGCTAACTTAGCTCCCTGTAGTATAATAGTTAGTAATAAGGCTACCTAGACTAACTAATTTAATAAGACCTATGCTATATTACTAGTTAAATAGGGTTTACTAAGGTATATACGCTTTATATATAGAAAAATAAGTACTGTAAGTTACTCTATATCTAACTTCCTGTTTAATACAGATCAGGGCCCTACGAGGCATTCCACGCTTACCCTCAAGCAGATGAGAATAATGGCTTAGGCCTCCGGGAGTGTCAGCTTTGAAGCCGCGACTGCTATCCCAGGCCAGTTTTGCAAGGCAAATGTCTTGTCTTATTAACCACGGGGCAGCCGTTATCTTGAATGCTACGTTGTAGGATATCTATCATTTATTAGCTAGGACCGCTGTCACAGCCATCGGGGATCACTGGACCCACTGGATTGGGCCTCCGATACCATAACGCTACCAAGCTTCCCCGGGGAGATAATCTAAGATCAAGGAGTCACTCTGCCGTATCTGATCGACCTGTTAGCCGGCGTTTTAAATACAGGGTCAGGAAAAGGTTTCAACGGTCTCGCCCCATCCGATTCGTCCGGACCCCCTGCCATGATCGCCTGACTGCTTAACCAGTAATAGTGTTGACTGATAATAACTGCCGCGACATTGCGTGCGGCCAAGACACGTCCTCACCCAAATTGTAATGTTTTACCTTGCCGTGTAGTGACGACTCCCTGGACGATACGTCAACGGCTTCTCATAGTGCATGTATGTAATATGCGGCGTTCCGATAGTATCGCCGTTCTAGACTTAGCACTTTGGAGTCAGGGAGCCAGAGCTAGACCCAATCTGTGTCCCTCCCCAACGTCTTAGCGTGAGGGTATTTAAAGAGAAGCATAGAGCCGTTTTGTTCCCACGCGTCTAATTCCCCGCCTTTATCTTTATCTCCGGTGACCGATTGTGAGCTGAGCCTCGCAAGGATAACTGCTCTGCACGCCGTGACACGCTCTACACCGGAATCATGCCGTCCAAGTCGCACAGTCAAGCCAGAAATGGGAACCGTAGGAGGTACGAGTCTGAAGCCTCTTCTCTTTGCTCTGCCGAACCTTAAAACTGACCGAGCTGACCTTGTGCAGCCATACTAAATCACGCATGGGCTGTTTGACGTGGTGTGTGGGACTTTAAAGACTTTCGATACTAGTCGAACATACTAATCAGTATTTGTCTGGTCCAGTAAGCGCCGTCACATCCGCTGCGACGAGAACTATCCCCAATGGTAGGTGGGCCGTGCCTCTACACTAAGACGACGATCAGCTCATGCTTCCCCAGCCAGAACTGTACTAAGCACAAGGTCAAATGCTCCTTTCACGATACACCGTCACAAGAAGAGTTGCTCCTTAAGCCTTCGCTTGAGAGTACTCCATCAACGTCTTGCACAACCTCTAAACCCCGTCGACCTTGGTCGGCTAAGGCCAGGGCAGAGGTAAGGCAGTGGAGAAGGACAGGGTCAATGCCTATACCAGATGATCGTATCAGAATAACCCTGCAACCAACCATCTACTCCGAAGACGACTTGTGCTTCGTTTACCAAGCAGCAAGTAACCAACATAGACTTACAACGATGGGAGTGAGTAAGCTCACCGTTATATCATCATACTTGCCGAGGTTTGTTTGTCCAGCGGTTTCTTATCACATCATGTTGACTCTCTAGCTTTTTTCGTATCATCTCCTCGTCTCGGCTGGCGATGAATGGAGTCCTCGCCCTTTCAGCATACCAAGTTGCGTCAGTTACTCACTGCCAACATGCCCGTCGAAAAGAGTATCAATATCAGATGCTAGCTATCCAAGACCTCAGGCGATGTCTGTCCAACTTTGGACCAGAGCATGCTGATGGAGCGCTCGTTGCCTCAATGGCACTACTATGGCTCTGTGAAGACATGTGAGTGTGCCTGGCTGAGGCGATGGACGGAAGTGTTGACAGGACCAGGTCGAGCCGAAGACAGATTGCAGAAGGTATCTCGGCGGTAAGTAGTTTCCTTCTGCCACGCGATACACCAAAACTCATAAAATCTTAGATTCTGCAAACATGCCATCGCCTAGGTCACCAATCCGGATTTTATCACATGATAGCAAAAGCGTGGCGTCAAACTGCTCATTTGCACACAACACTCAAGGCAGAATGCGGAAAGCCGAACGGGCTGCGGCGCATAATTGTCGAGATGCAGAAATTCAAGACTTTCTTGAAAGAGGAAGAACCGGATGACGACACCTGGAGACAGCTGCGGCTGCTCATCGCCCTCGCCGAGGACTTGACCGAACTGGAGCCGTCGACACCCGCTGATAAGCAATTCGAACAGATCCGGCTACTGCGAGACTACAAGCTCTGGCTCCCTCTCAATGACCTCTTGACCGGCAGGAACCTGTCGAGCACGCTGATGGTCAATGCCTATCTATACACGATAGCTTTATACGCTCAGCGCCAGACATCGCAAGCGTATATGATTGACCTGGGAGTCGACCTGCCCAGTTTGCTGGATGAGACGTTACGGCAGATCACACCTGTAAAATCGTACATTGGGCCACTCAACAACCTGAAAGCCCTGGTATCGTCATTGTCATAATACTGGTAATATTTATGTTTTAGCAAGTTCAGATTGTGGCGACGGAATTGAACAAACGCCACCAAGCAACAGGCGAATGGTAATACTAATAATAAACATTGGAGCTACTGTACCCGAAATCAAAAGTGTTGACTGTATACTGTCTCAAGTGAATGTAATGAGTGAAAAATGGCCTTGGACGGCTATTTGCTTACCAAACGGCCCTCTGAGCTCATTAGCCAATAAAAGTTTACGCAATTCCACTGATAGGAAGACAGACCTGCATCCTGAATCCTACTCCTTTCACTAAACATCTCACCGCCGTTTTGCATCGAGATGACTGCACGAAAAAGCCTGAGACTCGAAGAAGTCACCCTTGACGATGTACCCGTTCTCACAGAGGTATGGTTCGCAGCTTTTACCGATCCTGGAATCCGACGCATCTGGCCTGATACACCGGCGGTACGCAACTGGTGGACCCAGGGCAATCGCCACGACTTGATCCATAAACCGTTTCAACGCTACGTCAAAGTTGTCGATCCAGACTCTAAAGATGCTAATGGCCGTCCACGCATCGCGGCTTTTGCCAAGTGGGATACTTCGATGCCCTGCGAGCGGGGTCGACGATATCCGCCATGGAGTGAGGACCAGCCTGGTCAAGTCTGCGACGACTTCATTGCCAAAGAGGAAGTGGAAAGACTCCGCGTTATGGGAGACCAAAAGCACTACTGTAAGGGCCCCCTTGGACCTTGTACTGTACCCCGGATCTGCTAACCGCAATTCGTCTAGATCTCGATACGTTGGTTACGCATCCTGACTACCAACGCTGCGGAGCTGGCTCAATGCTTATGAAATTTGGTTGTGATCTAGCAGACAAGGACGGAGTTGCAGCGTATGTGGATGCGAGCAAGTCTGGGGCCGGGCTTTACAAACGTTTTGGGTTTGTGGATGAGAGCTTACCCGGTTCTGGCGACGTCGCTTCCATGGTTCGACGATAACGCCCGTCGGTCTTTGTAACCTGGGCTGTGCCGCTGCAACGTTGTAGTGATCAAGAATTATGGAACAAAACATTAACTACTCATGTATTGAAGTTGAAGCTATTCAGACACGCCCTTTAGCATATTGTTTTTGTGGATCGGCAGAAAACCGATACAGCGTCGAGTGAGAACTACACAAGTCTGCTTTGGGTGAGATCGGCAGCAGGGTGAAGAGTAGACCAACATACGTGATCCAGATCAGCCGTACCGGGCATAATCGGGGAAATACTATACCACGTTTTCTCCCGAGATCTCACGTCACACAAACCAACCATACAGGGTCCATCCTAGCAAGAATTTATTCTACGGATGCAAGACATACCAACTGCCGAGACGTTACCAAGTGTTGGTGATAGGCGAAGATACGGTATTTCTTGGCTTGGTGCCTCTTCCGCTTGTTGTAGCCTGGTCTTCAAATGATAGGTGAAGATACGGCCTGTGCCGCTTGGGGATATCTTGCATGAGGCAGCTTCCACTTTCCTGTGATAGGCGAAGATACGAAGATCACGCTGTCTGTCGTTTTTACAGAAGAATATAGATTTAATTACAAAAGAAATACTAATAATAGGCCTTGCTGTTCCTATCTCATCCTCTGTACACTGAAATAATTCCCCTTCCGAATCCAGCCTTTAGAGGCACAGGCTGAGCGATGAAATCAGTGTCATTTTTTAATAGCACAGTAGCTGGAAGCTAATTACGGATAATTTCGAGCTGGATTAACATAGAAAAGCGTCATATATTTAACTATCAAGAGGTACATGCGGGTTAGAAGAGTTTAATACTCATCAATATATTCTCATTCTGTGAACCACTACGCGATTCAGTAAGGTATATATTGCTCAAAGCACTGCCAGTTCGTAGCGTTATGAGCTACTATGTTGTATTAAAATAGATCAAATCACTATGATACTCAATGGAAGTTTCTTTCATGAGCCTAGTGGAGGTAATAGGGTTGTAAATATGCTCTTAAGTAGGATATGCGATCTTTACTAGTCTCTTCTCGATTTCAATAACACCTACCTTACCCCATTACTCAGCCTAATAACGGACTCTCTCATTATGCAATTACATATAATATGGAAGGCAAATTTTTGCAGATACGATTTGAATATCCGATAGCCCTTCATCTTTGTAATGCTATCGTCCGGGTCTCTCCTCGACCAGCACTTTGGCTGTCCCAGCGCATAACCCCGATCCTGGCGGAGTATCTTGGATTACCAGGGCTTCATAAACTCGCTGTTCGCGTTTTGAACACAGTTTTAAACAGATCTCCCCAAAGATCCAATCCCCTGCCATCTCATGCCGCGTAACCAATCATCCACCGTAGCATCCAATTGCTGACATCTGAATGTCGGTTCCTCGATAATCCGAACCGAGGTCACGTCAAACGCAAGATATTCCCCTCTTCGTCGTACATCTTCATTCAATGTCATCATGAGCTCCGTGGTAGGCGGAGTCACGGGGCATCATCGCCTTCGTACTCAATGCGGTATCTGCGGCAAAGCATTGTTGGCTGGCGTGAGCTTTGTGACTTGTTAGTTTTTGACAACATCGTTCTCATGTTCTTCCATCGGCTAACAACTAGTTTGCAGTGCTAGGTGACGGTCCTGAACCAGAATCAGGGATTTGTCTAGATCGTGCGGTATTCCCCGATTCTCGGAGTATCAGGGTTGGCACCAAAGTCCTTTGCTGGGCACCGAGTTGCCGGCGATGCACAGATACTACCGAGGCAGTAGGGTTGCATTCCACATGCCTGAATCTGTTCCAAGAACACTGCAAAATCGACAAGGCGGTCGACAGATTGTGGATAACAATTGGAAAGAGGAACCTCTGGCAACGGGCTCCAATGCTTCATCTGGATCGTGAAATAGGGCTTGACATCGAAATTGTCCGCGAGAAAGCAGAAGCGTACGGCATTCGACTATTGAAGCTTCTACCAGCAGAGCTCATCCAGATGGTACAAGAGTACAGCGATTCGGCGACATTCTGGCGTTACATCCACGTTCTCAGCATAGCTAGGGAATTGTCCCGTTTGCAGTCAGAGGCCGCTCTACCAGTTACTTCGATACCTTTGTGTAATATCCTATCCTGGACACGAGGAGATTATGCTGCTGTGTTATCAAGCACCTGTCCGCCAGTAGTACGATTGACTCTTGATCACAGGGGAATACGTAAGATAGAAAGATTGTCGAAATCATCATACGAACCCGGACGCCGCTCGGACAGGGAGGCATTTGTCATTTCGCCTGCGATATGCTTTCGGGATGTCGTGACTGTACTAAAGGTGATTAGGTTACTCTGGATATTGTAATGATCTGAACTGACAGGGCACCTAGTTTCACGTGTTGAGGCTTGAGCTCCCTGCATCTCTGTTGGGGTTTCATATTTGGGACACTCCCAACCCCCCTGGTATTGAGGACTGCGACTTTTACGGCCGCGTGACACCGTCCATGCAATTCAAGACCACCAACTTACGAAGTGTAACGGGCCTTACATTTTTCTTCTCCTTCAGCAAGCTCTACGCAATACACGCGCACACACATGCGAGGCCTTATGCAACGAAAACGTTCGAGCGCCTTCCTGCGAAAAGACAGGAAAGTGTCGTATGGATATACCTACCAATACCGAGAGATGAAGAAATCACTGCGATCGCCATGCGGTTGAAGGTTGAAGGGGGAGGGGCCACAACGCAGAAACCCTTTTTCATGGTGATATTTTCCTTTCGTGATTGACTTCAAAGTACTAATGAAGACAGGTTCGTACAAAGCTAGCCGGGGATGTGTATGTTGGCCCATGCCATCTCAGGCAGCACAGAGATGTTGTTCTCAGCCAGTCAAGCCCAGAACTGCTCATTCACAATGTTGCAGATGTCGGACCAGCTACTGTATTCGGAACATATCCGCGGAAGCAGCAACGGGATAGCCTACAGCCGTTCAACAACAGCTGGCCGAATATGGATCCTCTCCTTCATATGATGTTCGAGCATATGTATCTTTCTGTAGCGCCCTTAAACGACGTGGCCGGTATTCAGGTTCTAGAAGACGAGAACTTTGAATGCAAGGGTATGATATTTGACTACAGCAACGGTGCCCAAAGAGCCCTGGGGGACTGTCGATTTGGTCATTATCGGGCGAAAGCGTACGTGAGGCCACTGCGTTTGTGCTACTGTCATGTCCAACCTACACCGGCGATAGTGCGGGGTGTTCACGTTGAGATTGGAAGTGAGTCGGACCATGCGCACAGCGGCGATGACTGGAAGTGCTCGAAGATGGAAGGGAATATCGAGTTTTGGTTCTCCAAGGAACATTCGGTCATCGTCTGCCACTCCATTGAGATCACAGCAGCTCCATGAGGGGTCTGGATGCTTGGCGGCCTTTGTTTGCTTAGCAATTATTTTGGTTTAGTCTTGATCAACAGATTTGCAGATGCAGAGACCCTCAACTCGCAGCTAGTACACGTCAGTGTGTTGATCATCCCCAAGCGCGAAATCGTGATCTAGCTGAAGTCAACGCAAGTTACGCAACTTATCAGCCAGTTAGTCTAGTTCAGCACGGACTTGTCAGCTTGTCGACACCAACAATGGGGAAGCAGCCCAATTGCCGTGATAGGATATGTACGCCAAGAAGCAGCCGATCAAAGGTTGCACCAAAGCTCGGCTTTATAAACAATTCACTGGTCGGAAAACGCGGCTCATTGCATATGATGTGATGTTTGCAAAACACAGATTGAACAGTGATCGTCCGATGGCCTGATCCAAACGGTCTAGTACGACGCCAGACTGGCTGCACACTTTTCTACATTGGGCTTTGTGATCTTCATTCCCGGACGTCAAGTCCGGCTAGTCCGTCTGTCCAATAAAGAAGTGGTAATAATCAGCCCCATTGACATTGCCAATTCGATAGTCTGAGACTCGACAGGCGCCAAGCAGACGGGCTTAATGTCAGCTGTGGAATTGCCCACGGCCGTTGCAATCCTGACGTTGTCATTTTGACACTTTCGCAGCGAAGCAGTCTCACAGAGGCCAGCTTTGTGCGCGTCATACCTGCAGCCACGCCAATATGGAAGAATTGAAAAGTGATGAGTATTCTACCAAAGGGAGTAGGTCGTAGTTACTACGTCAGCCGTTGAGCATTCCCCGGGTTTACACCATTACCTCCACCATCCCCGTAAATACTCTTTGCGTTTCCCTGTTTTTCACTCACACCAGATTTCTTCTTTCTGCTTATTCCTTCCTTTCAGGGTCCAGGCCTTGAAGAAAACTAACCAGTCATCGCGCGCGAAAATTCACGACGTTGCGAAAATGGCAAACGCTGCTGAAGTGCGAGGTGCGAATGGCTTCAATGGCCACCAGCACCACCACAAACAGCAAAGAACCCACCTCAGCGAATTCGGCACTCACATGGTAGCGGCGTCTGGTGAATTTGTCGGCACTTTCTTCTTCTTGTACTTTGGCTATGCCGGCAACATTATTGCTGTTCTGCAAGAGCCTGCCACCGGGCCTAATGGTACGTTGGCCAACAATACCATTATCTGGATCGCAATGGCGTACGGCTTCTCCCTCCTGGTCAACGTTTGGGCATTCTACCGGATCAGTGGTGGATTGTTCAACCCTGCGGTAAGCTACTTTACTCGGTGAAAAGCTCGATGTGCTGACGCCTCTGCCCTTAGGTCACCTTCGGTCTCTGTCTCGCTGGTCAACTGCCATGGATGCGAGCGCTGTACCTATTCCCAGCCCAGCTCGTCGCTTCAATGTGCGCTGGTGGTCTAGTCGAAGCCATGTTCCCCGGAAGTGCCTCGCAGGCAAACACCACGCTCGGTCCCAATACTTCGATAGCACAGGGTGTCTTTCTTGAGATGTTCTTTACAGCTCAATTGGTCTTCGTCGTCTTGATGCTTGCGGCGGAGAAGTCCCGCGATACGTTTCTCGCGCCAATCGGTATTGGTCTCTCTGTTTTTGTGGCCCTCATTCCAGGTAGGAAGCCTCCCCTGTTATTACTTCTTGGCACGATGTTGACTGTCGCATTGTAGGTGTCTTTGTTACAGGCGGATCGTTGAATCCGGTACGTTCTTTTGGCTGCGCAGTTGGTGGCAGAGACTTCCCTGGTTATCACTGGCTCTACTGGGTCGGACCTCTTCTTGGTGGTGCTCTCGCTGCTGGCTACTTCAGGCTTGTCAAGATGATGCACTACGAGGAAGCAAACCCAGGGCAGGACAGTCCAATCGACGTCTAGGAGGCGGCGACAGAGCATCAGTATGTTTGAGCAAAAATGGTGGCTTGGGTAATGTGCTTTTGACAGCAATCTGCCACTTGTCATTTACATCAAGGGCAATATCATGAAGAGTTAAACACGGTAATGATTCGACGGCACGGCGGAGTTGATAATGAAGCGTTATGACCTATTAATCACTGAATGGTAAACAAAAGACTCAAATATCGCTCAAACCCAAGAATTGCCATGATTAACCCTTTCTAAACATTTAATTTACACCAAGTAACCCACATAAAGACCTAAAATCACGCTTTGAGTACCAATGGTCCCTGTTCATCTTGGAACACAACATCCCACCAATTCTGCTTCTCCTTCTTGGCCCAACTTGACGTGCAAACGGTGTCAAAGTCGGTGTTGACCATACCACGCTGAGCAGGCATGAACCGCCTGATAGTTCGGTATGCCTCAAGGCCCCAGTAGATAGCCCGGCCTTCGGGGATCTCGACCCTCCCTAGAGGCTGCTGTCGGCGCTGAGTGAGCTGCGCGTTGACAAGCTGGCGGAGGTAGGGGAAGAACCACATGCGATCCCACCACAAGACTCTTCGGGTCTTGAGGTTGTTGATGTGGGCGTTGTGATGGATGTTGATGGGGATGGCGGTGGTGAAGAAGTCGGCGTACAGGGTCATGTCGCCCCAGTTCAGTGTGCGTCGGTCCTCTTCTGAGAGAATGCGCGCAAGAGGGTTTGTCGCATTGGCAATCTCCTCAGGGACAGCAGTCAGACGGACGGGCTCAATCTCGAGCTCTCGAGATCGCTCAGCAATAAATGTCTGGTTGTTGAGTGTCAAAATATCGCCGTCATCTTCTTCGAAGACAGTGGGGATGGAGATGGTCTGATTGTAGTCGAGGCCGACGTGGAACTCGAATTGATCGCGGACCATAGTGGAAACATTGTGAGAGGGATCAATGGCATCACCGAGCTCCCGTCGCCATGTGCGCCACATCTCTTGCTCTCCCCAGATCTCACCGAAGAAACCTTGGTCACTGTAGAAGTGATCGCCCTGCTCAGCCTTTCCAAGCTCGTAACGCTCTTGCGCGCGACGGAAGTACTTGCGCATATCGCCGACAGGTCCAATGAAGGCACCACTGTTGATGTACTTGGGTCGGACATCGACCATGCGCAAGTTGGGATCTTGGTCTGTCTCGGGTCCGTAGAGATCCTCACGGAGAGGAGACTCTGGAAGAGCATCGCAGTGCAGGTTGGAACCAGACTTGGCGCGAGGCCAGCACCTCTTCTGGGCAGACACCATGATGGTCTGCTTCATGGGCATCTCAGACTTGTGTGGCCATTGCGCGCGAAGACGCTCGTTGGCCTCTTCGTTGAGAGCATGATAGCGCCAGAGAAGTACACTTGGGGGCAGTTGGAACCAAGAGTCGGCGCTGTCGGCGACCATGATAAGATCATCCTCGTTCAAGTGGTCCTTGCTTGAGCTGCCTTGGCGAGAGCTCCAGTCAAGATAATCGAGGACACCAGCGATCTTGGCCAGATGCGAGCCACTCTTGCCCCAATTCAGGATGACGGGGGCGGGATATCCAAGGGCAACCGCTGTAACAATGGCCTTGCAGACGTTGACACCGGGGGCGTTGGCTGGGAGGAGGATGACGAGACGGCGGTTGAAGATGTTGCCGCCCTTCTTGGGAGGGTTGACCATGACGGGGATGCCAGCGGGCGAGACGGGGGAGACAGGTGAAGCGGGTGAAGCGACAGGCGAGCTTGCATCTTGAGTTTCGCCCATCTCGAATACGTCGGCCGTTCCATCGGAGAGGTATTGTCGGCCCTGCAATCGTCAGTCAGTCAGTCAATTGAAGACGCCATCGGTGATCGCGACGTCGCTTACCTCTAGAGCTGCAAGAGCCAAAAACGTGGGAATGAGAAGAATAGCCGCCAGCACGAGCAAGAAACCTTTCGTTGACAATCGCAAGAATCTCCTCGGCATTATCTGAGTGGTCTCAGCCTTATCCTTGACGACATTCGTCGTCGGCAATTCTTGGTATCCGCTGCTGAACATTTGGCGGAACCAGCTAGCACCCTCTTGAGTGCCCGTCATGTTGAGAGAGAGGAAGCAGATTGATTCAGATCAGTAACAAAACTGACCAAGCTTAACCTGCGCTGTCAAAAGAGTGTTTAAATGAATGAATGAATGAATGATCGAACGAAGGACGTCGAGGGCCATGCTGAGGGGTTCCGCAGTGACATGACTACTAATATACCAGGGAGTTCAACGGTGCTAGATGCGCAGAAAAGGAGAAAAAAAAAGCCACTGGAATTTCCAGACCCTCCCTTGCACACAGTCCATTCCCTCACCAATTGCACATCATTGGACTGATTCAAATCACTGGCATATCGCCACAAACAGGTACCTCTGCCCATTTTGTCAAGGAAAAAGGGTCAAAGTGGCTTGCCAAGATCTTGGTCTGCTGAATTATCGATTCGAGGGAGGGAAAAAAAGAATACCAGAAGGAAAACCGACTCCACCTGTGCATGGCACTATCGCCGACCTAAACCCTCCTAGAATTAATTGCTGTTGGACCGTGTCTCAGCCCCAGAGGCTAAAATCAGGGGTTGGACTCAGCGCCGTTTTAGCGTGACGAGCGCTACACAGCGGCGGTCTAACTAACGGACAAGCTTAATTTTACAGTGCCAAAACATCGCTGTCGCCAAAGGAAAGGATCATGATGGGAGCGACGCAGGGTCTGCCAGGCAGACGATTCTTGATCTCGTGAAACAAATCTCCAGTCTTGAAGATCAAATCTGAGCACAAGATGAGTGGTTGCTAGAAAGATGGAGTGCGGGTGATTGCTATAAAGTTGCCAGCCCTGACCCGGAGTTTAATCAGTTCGCGATGCGATCATTTAGGTGAGCATTCTTCCCTTGCGCCGGCCAATTCGAGCCAGCAAACGTGACCATCATCGACATGATGCTTCCCTTTTCTTTCTGACACTTGGGTGCTCGCATCAACGTGTTTCCTCGCAGTAAATCAACATATCCCCACGGCATGCCTGTTACATGACCTCGTCAGTTGCACGTCTCTGCCATTTCTTGGCCAGTTCCATGATCAATCAACTTGAGAAGCCATATCGCTTCTCCAATATCGAGCGCCTAACTCAGCTCCAGGCGCCCAGCGTTTTTTCTTCTGTCACTGGCCCCTGTCTTCAGGTGCGCCATCTTCCCCAAGCTATTGGCATTAGTGCCCGACCGGCCTTCGCAGCACATGCAGGAACAAGAAAACGTCCAAGTCCTCATGATGATCCTTATCAGGCGACAGAAAATGTCAAATGAGTCTAACAAGAGACTAGGAACATTCATCGCTACTCTAACGCTATGACAATCGCTAATGAGGCCACATTTTAAGGCTGAAATGCATCCAGGTTATTCGCCCCGATTTGAACTCCTTGCATTCTTGGTAGTCTACAGTATCAGAAATTCCTCGAGGACGCGAGGGAGAACAGGAAATGTCCGATGTCTGAGATGTCACCAATCACGACTCCCTTGGACGTCTCCCCCATATTAGACATGATTTAAGCATGTATCGGGATCGAGCGATGCTCAAATCGCGACAAGGAGGATTGAGATTCCGATCTTATCGTGTTTCGGGCAGCGCCCACATCCCGGGGCTGAGATTCTGAGTTCCGCCAGTACAGGGCCATGGGAAATGGGCGATCGGCCTGTGTCCAGAACCCCTCCCCACCAATCGCGCGCCGACGATATTCGCGTGCCCCCTGAATTAACCCCTCCACGTCCTTTCGCTCCGACGTGTGCTTGTCCCATTTCAATCTCAGCGCGTTGAAATCGTCGCTGACCAATATTGGTGCTCTGACTGTTCCCGTTCCGTCTGAGGATTGCGATGCAGATAAGAGGAGTTTGTATGTCTCAAGCGTGAGGAATGGGCTGTAGACAAGTGTCTCCTCGTCCATCATCCGTCCAGCCTCACCCAGGTTTGCAATTGATGGTGTTTTTAGTACCGAGATATCGAGGCTCTGGAGAAAGGTCTCGTCGGCAGCTGTGAATGTTGGGTCTTGGGCATAAATTCTCAATTTGCTCTTATCGCCTCTTGACAACGTTAGATGAGATGCGATAGCCATCAGCACGACTAACTGTTTGATGCGCCGCTGCTGGTCCTTAGCGTCCAATAGGCTGCCTAAACCCAGCGAAACAATCTTGGTGATGCGCGGTCGGTTTTTTGTTCGCAGCATGTCTTCAATTGTCTTGGCCAGTGTCGATTGGTCGTAAATGTCCCTGGCATCTTCATATAATCTGTATAATTGTTGGAGTTGTTTGCCAGATCCGTTGCCTTTTCTTGAAGTTTGTGACTTTTTGCTGGGCGTGTAATGATCTGCACTTGTTAGCAGTCTGGACCCAGGGCCGTTGATTGAGAGGCTCACCCTCGCCATCGGCAACATGCAACTTCTTTGAGTGTCGCATCCTTGCTGAAGGGCTGTTCGTAGTGTTTTGTGTTTGTACGACTGAAATTTCGGCGTTTTAGACAATTCAAGAGAGGATCTTGGCTGTTTGGAAGTGATTGATGATTGTTTATTTGTACCAGAACTGAGGGCAAGACTGCTTCTATTTAACACAACCGCCGGGCATTCATCTTTTGGTACATCTATCTGCGACATGCCTATTCTGTATATTCAATTGCGTGCTCGGTGTTCGGCCTGTTGCTGCGCCTGTCAGCATGACCTTTGTAATCCTCTCGGACAATGATGCCGTCCGCATAAGCAGATTTTGGTGGAGGATGGGTTTGACAGCAGATGCACCAGTCATGCCAATTTCTAAGCTAACGGCCGCTAACCAGTTTCGGATCACGTTACAAATCGAACAAGATGACAAAAGCTTCAATGACGACAAACAAATCCGGGCTCATTGTGGAATTGACTCATTGAGATGGCTCTATTTGATGAGATTTCCGGAGTTAAACTAAAATTAAATCGAGTTTTCTCTCATCCATCCATTTTCCGACAGAGATAGATCGATAATTCTCGCTATTCGAGATGGCAGATTCTGCTAGCAGTCAGCAAATCTCTGTCACTGCTGTCTCCGTCATTGTTACAGATAACTTGTCCACGATAAGAAATGGATAACACGGCTACCGGCTCATATCTGCAGCATCATTATGCCAATTCGGTAGGTGAGTCACCTTGAATCACCACGATATCATTCCTATAATCTCTTTTCGTATAAGTTGTGACTCACGCGACAGATTCGACTTCAATCCTTCAAGCAACTGCAGATTGATTGCGCACCTCGGACATTCCAAAGTCCGACGTTTCACTCGCCAATCTTGGCACCTTTCGCTCACTCGCTACCCCAAGCGTTCGCATTCCATTCCTTGGACAAAGCTCTTTCTTACAACTGCAAAGCCAGCTTCCTTAATGTGATCCTTCTCGTCTTCCACATTTTGACATGATTGATGAGGTTGGAAATGTCAAAATGACTAATTGCACGAGCCTCATTCGGGCAGAGACAAATGATACTCCACTAACAGGCTCCAGTGTGAAAGAAACAGGTTGATGTTAGTGTTGCATCACCACAAATGCTTACACCCAATATGGACAATTGATCCAATCACAAAACAATAGCAAGAGAAAGTCCACGACAACTTCTGAGCGATTTTCGCAATTGATCCTATATTGCGACCCCGCTGTTGACCACCACCACCAGTAGCTCTGGAGGCAGACACGGAATCGAAAGCCTGGGGCTCAGTCCAATTGCCCTGTGATATATCGTATCCCTGCTAGGGGAGGAACTCAGGACGTTGATCCTGAACGACAAAAAGACTTGGGTAATTTAGTGTAAGCTCAGGATAAGTTCATGATATTTGGAATACCTTTTGTGAGTTTATTTTGACCTAATAGTAGATTGCCGGTGAAGTGACAGGAGCGCGCGCATGTTCCTCCCAGCGATGTCTGCGAGGTAAGCAGCCTCTTTTGACCTTTGAACCAAATGACAGCTTCGAGCTTCTCCCTGGGCATCATGGCCAGTTCCTGCTTGTCGAATTCAATAGAGTCATTGTCTGTAAGGGCGGTGCAACCATTTCCAAACGATACCGGCTTGGTCCGTTTGCCTTGGGATGCATCGTATCCCTGAGTGTCAGGTGTGGCGGTATGGCCATTTCGACTACTGCTAGTGACCTCTTTACTTATAGCAGCAGTATTAAAAGTGTACGCCACGGTGAATTTTCTATAGATATACGGTCAGATGGATATCTCAAGGGGAAAAAGGAAATCATCTGGAATAGCGCCATTACCTCGCCTCTTTACGACGCTGGTTAAAATCTTTTGGGTGCACCTGTTCTCGTCAATAAGACGCGAGAGCAGCCGCCTCCCACCAATGCCGTCATAGGCAGCAAGGGGGATGGGAATTTCGGTTATTAACGAGATGTACATCGTAGACTACCAGGTGAAGTGACTGCGGTTCTAAGAGAGGAAATGTAACTCGGGATCTTGATCCCATATGGCAAAAAGACTTAGGCAATTTGGTGTACCTTTTGCTAAGTTCATTTTGACATTCGGCATCAAGGGCCAGTGTTTTCTTGCTCCCCAAGGGGCTGGTCTCCCCGCGTATCCCAGCCAGCGTAGTCTTTAGGATCGGCTTGTGGTGGACTCGGTCTTAGTGTGAATGGCTTCCGCCTCTGCAGCAAGATTTGACTTTGAACTTGGGTGCTATAATATTTCAGACAAATCCACTATGGTAATCAAGTAATACCCACCCTGAGACGAGGGACTGTTGCCTCTAGTCGCCTCGCGTTGAAAATGTGGTTGGGTAATTTCTTAAGTGCCTGCTGTGTTTGGCTTCGCAATGGAAACTCAGCAATGCAGTCACCGTGATACTTCAACTCAACGGAAATGAACTGCTTGAAAGGCCAATACAATATAGAACTCTTAAATCCTTGATCGTGAATGAATGCTATAACATCTTGCTTCTCGGTGTTGAGGGGCATGGCGCTCAGAAAGACGAGTCTTGATCACCGTTTCAGCATATCAGTCGCTACCTATATAGGTATTGCTCGGAAGTTGGTCAGCTGGTGGTGTACTGGGCATGCTTTTT